GCGCAGGCGGCCCGAGCCCCGTGCCCGCTCCCGGGGCTCCCCGCGGAGCCGCATCCCGCGGAGCCCGGCTGCGGCGCAGCCCCGGCGCCCCGGCGGGCTCGGTGCGCGCCCTCCTCGGGGCGGTGCGCGGGGGTGAAACCGAGCCGCGGGTCCGGAGAGGAGGTGGAGCAGGGAGGAGCGGAGCATCTACGGGCGCAGCCCCGCTGCCCTGTGGGCGATCCTCGGCCCCATCCGGAGGCCGGAGGCACGGAGGGGTGGGGGCAGCCGCCTTGCAGAGCCGGTCACAGCGGGCAGCTCCTCTCTCCGGGGATCCCGGGGCTCCGCTCCGAGGTCTGGTGCCCGGGAGTTGCTGTAATTCCCGCGGCTGCGGTCAGCGGCAGCGCTGCGAGCTCGGGCAGGAGGGGAAAGGCGGCCAGGTCTCGGGCATCCTCGGTCACGGCGCCAGAGCCGCCGGCCGGGGGCTGCCCGCCCGCTTTCCCCCGGCGGCGGGGCATGCCCCTGGCTCACGGGGCGCCTCTGCCCGGAGGGGACTCGGGGCTCCCATCCATCGCAGACACTCGGCTTGCTTGGCAACGGGGAAAAAAAAGGAGGGAAAAAAAGAAAGAAATGAGCAGAAAATTAATCACATCAAAATCCAGATCTAAAAAAATCGCAAGACCGGAAAATGAAAATCCCGCCCTAAACTCAGAGCTCTGGGAAGCCAGATGGGAGTATCCCAACTTCTCCGCGGGCCAGGGCAGGGAGTGCTCCGGCTCAGGGGCTTCCCTGGCGGCGAGGAGGAGGAGAAGGAGGAAGAGGAGGAGGAGGAGCAGGAGGAAGGGGCGAGGGCAAAGCGCAGGGAGCGCTTTGCGGGGCTGCGGGGAGCTGGCGGCGGATGCTGTCCCGAGAGCCGCGGGACGAGCACGGCGGAGCCGCCGCCGCCGGAGCGGAGCTGCGGGCGGGCGGACCGGGAGGAGGCAGAGCCCAGCACGGTCAGCTGATGCCCGCCACGTCGGCGGGGCTGCCAGCACCCCCCCGGCCCGGTTAAAGCAGCCGCAGCCGCGGCTCTGGGAGGGGGACAGCGGGCGGGGGTTGCCGCAGAGCGGGTCACCTGGTCCTAGGAGGCTCCTCCAAGCGTCACTTCGGTTTCTCTGAGCTGCTCTTCTCCGGTGCCCCGGAGTGTCCCGCCTTTCCTGACAGGTGCATCCCTCCACAGCGCTCAGTGAGAGCTGATGCTGCAGCCGGGAATCCCTCTGCCTCGCCACACGGATGATCCTCAGGCCTTGCTTGGAGAGAGCACACTTGCCCAGGGTGGTGGAGAACCCCTTCACCTCTGCCTGGGCAAGTTCAGACCCTCTCAGAAAGGTGATGTCACTGCCAGGACTGTGGCTATAACCACCCTGTGTTAATTGAATGTTTGACGATGCTATCCTGACAGCATTTACATTAAAGATGCTGGAGAAATAACAGAAACTGTCCCATGCACAGAGCTTGGATATAAAGCCAATTCTCACTCCCCGTGCTGGCAGATGAAATTGTTCCTGCTCCTCTGCTTGTGGAGTCACTCTATGCCAGCAAACCTGGATGTGCTGTGCATGGAAGCACAGCCTGGCGAGGAAGAGGTATTGGTCTCTATCTCTCCCATTCCTCCTCTGCCCAAAGTAAACCTTGTTAAAGTGACTGAACCATTTAATGGGGGAAAGGTTGAAACCTTTCAGATTTGGAGCTGAAGCCGTGCTGCTGGAAGCAGCTGAAGGAGATACAGTCTACACATTAGACTATGGCAAAGTAAGGGAGAGGTGTTTTCTTTGTGTTTCAAAAGACAAGAGTGATGCCTGCTGAACTCTTTGAGATAAATATGCGGATGCTTTCTAACAGCAGCAGTGTGGACAGAGGCCCTGCTTGGAAGGAAGCTGTGCTACCCCACTAGGAGCTTTGGCTTGTTGAGAGTTGGGGTGCTTAAAAATGGCACGTGATGCTTGACTTCCAGTGGGTCTGAACCTCTGTGAACCCCTCTCCAGTTGTCATTGCTTAATTCGCCTATTACTATTATTATTATTATTATTATTATTAAAACATGGAGATTTAGGAAGGATTTCACTGATTGTTTCTGTATTTACATTACAATAGATTTGGGAACTCCAGGCAAGTCTGTGTCCCATGTGTGAGGCAGGTTTTGTACAGATATAAGCAGAGGAAATTCTTGTTTTTTGAGCCCAGATAAGGAAAGAGTGGCATTTTTGTGAACAGAGATGGGTCTTTCCTGTGGTTCAGCATGACCCTGCTAACCTGGATTGGTTTTACAATAGTAATAGAGACACATATCCTTGCTCCTAGATAAAGCCCATGGAAATTGTAGCATTATTTTAAGATGAAAATGATACTACAAAAGGAGAAATCTTATACAAGAACTTATATATTTCTTTAATGAAAGAAATTATAATTGTTAGTGCTATTACCCCAGAGCATAGAATTAAGGTATCTTTCTCATTCAGCACAAATCATGATAAATAAAAGGAAAAGGAAACAAATATATAATGTAGTTTAAGGAGACACCCATTCAAAAGAGATAAGATGAAACCAAGATAGGGACATCCCAGTTCTCTAATGTTACTATATGCACTGAATCACAGTGCTAGCAGTTTCCTTTGCCTCATGGCAGAGGGAACTCTCATCATTTTTCCTGTGATAGAGGCTCTGTACCTCCCCAGGCAGGCTATTTTTATGCTTCTCTATCCTTATCATTTTCATATCTAACCTGAACATTCCTTGCAGCATTCACCAAGCACATCACTTCTTGTCCTGTCCACCATGAACAGGAAGAGCAGATTATCCTGGCAGTAGTCTATACATATTTAATGAATGTCTCTTCTATCCACTCCCTCTTCCCCTTCTCGTTGCTTAGGCTAAATAACATAATTTCTGGGTTTTTTTTCCCCTGTGAGTCACATTTTCTAGATCTCTGAT